GAACATGGGATGCAAACAAGAGGGATCTGGCAACCTCAACCACATGCCTTTTCTTTCTTTCCGCCACCCCGTTTTGTTGTGGAGTATAGGAACAAGAACTTTGATGAATAATCCCAAAAGTTTCAAGATAGGTGGAGCGGGTTCTCTCAAAATACTCCTTAGCATTGTCAGAGCTTAATATTTTGATACGAGTATTAAACTGGGTGAGGATGAGTTCATGAAAATTTTTCACAATAGCCGGTACTTCATCCCTGGATTTCATGAGATAAATCCAAGTGTAATGCGAGTAATCATAAAAAAAAAGGATAAAGTACYTGTAACCYCCCATGGTTGGCATGTGATATGGCCCCCACACATCAGAGTRAACAATATGGAAAGGAGAAAGTGATCTTTTATTGCTAATTGAATAGGAATGTCTACAATGCTTTGCCAACTCACATGATTCACAATGAAGACTCGATAAAGACACTCCTTTAAACATATCTRGGAACAGATGACTCAAAGCAGAAAAAGACAAGTGACCAAACCGAAAATGACATAATAAAATTTTGTTAACAAATTCTGACACAACTGACTCTAAGGCAGCTCCATGAGGTGGTCCCAAAGCTTGATCCGGTGTGTCTAGCAAGTATATTCCGTTCGCCTCATGGCCACTCTCAATCATCCTCTGAGACTGTAGGTCCTGAAAAACACAATGAGTGGGAAAGAARGTTATGCTGCAATTCATGGACTTTGTTAAGCTACTAACAGATAAGAGGTTTGTGTTAAGCTTAGGGACATGAAGAACAAAAGATAAGAACAGGGTGTCAGAGGTCTTTATATCACCTTTACCAGAGATGGGGGAAAGGGACCCATCGGTAAGGGATATTTTCTTTCCCAGAGAGAAGGTGATATGAGCAAAAAAGGTTAGATAGACTGGTCATATGGTCTGATGCACCAGAATCGATAATCCAAGGGATTTTATGATTACCTGAAATTGAAGCATGATTTGCAGAAGCACGAGTACCTGAGTGAGCAAAAGCCGATGAAGATGATGTACTGTTGGAAGGGTGAACTGAAGAAACTATAGCTTTCAGGTGATTTAGGAGCCTCCCATACTTCTCAAAAGCCAGCTTCATTGTAGCCAACTGCTCAATGGTTGATTTCTCCTCACTCTCCTTACTTCCCCCTTTAGGTATTGTAGCAGCATTAGCAGTCTTGGGTTTTCCCACCTGACTGCCCTTCTTAGGGTTATTATTGTTCTTAAACCCATCAGGGAGAAGTCCAGGATGAAGCTTCTAGCAGGTGTCCTTTGTATGCCGTGGTTTCTTGCAATATTCACACACCTGCTCTCTTTTCTCAATAGGGCCCTTTGGTTTCATTCCCGCATGTGCAAAATGTTCTGTAGGTGGACTCTGCAACTGAACTTGCCGCCTACTCTCCTCACTACTTATCATAGCATATGCCTGTGAAAGAGTAACCTCATCCCTGGCCAAAATATTCTATCTGATAATATCAAACTCAGGGTTGAGTCCAGTGAGAAACTCAAACACCCTATTTCTCTCCACYAGYTTTCTATACATTTCAGCATCCTTTTTACTCTCCCATACCACTGTCTCCATAACATCAATTTCCTGCCATAGGGATTTTAGTATAGAGTAGTAGATTGCTACACTCTTCTCCCCTTGTCTCGGGTTTTTCACATCACTTTTCAATTTGTACGCTCTGGCTACATTTAGTTTCTGTGAATAGGTCTCAGTTACACTGTCCCATATCTCCTTAGCCGAAGACATCCAGAGATAGTTTTGGCTTATATGGGGTTGCATAGAGTTGACTAACCATCGTATAACAGTATAGTTCTCTTGCATCCATTTTTCAAATTCAGGGTCTGTCTCTTCGGGTTTCACCTTACTGCTTGTGAGATACCCGAGTTTTCTTCTACTACAAACATAGATTTTTATAGACTGTGCCCAAGCAAGATAGTTCATCCCATCTAGCTTAATTGTGGTAACATCAGTCAAAACGGAATCTACCGACACCTGCTTGAACTCACTTCCGTATGTCTCCATTAATCAAACGGAAATCAAAGAACATAAATTTTGATTATGTAAACTTACTTGAAGTCAAACCAGAACTCGGGTGCTTGAAAAACTAGGGTTTTGCTCCATCCAGCAGATGAGAGGAAGAGAGAAGATGCTGTCGCACTTACCAGACTAACCCAAACTCTTCCAAACCTGAACCGCCCTCCTTTAGCAGTCACAAGACACCTTCCTAGCATAGAGCGCCACACCCGAGCTTCACCTTTCCTAGTAACCTCGAAAATCTCTAATCGGCTAGGGTTTCGGGCAGCAGTAGAACAACATCACTTGGCAAAATCTAGCCAGAACTAAACTCTCCAAACCCTTCTACCAACTAGGCAAGTGATTCTCTATACTATAGAGAACCTCTCTCTCCATACACTCTCTTGATTTTAGAGTGTACAGGAACGAAGAAAAAGAAGGAAGAGGAACTAAACCCGCTCTAATACCAAGATGTAAATCAGTCATTTAATATCAAGATTAAGCTTAGTGATTAGCATAATAAAACAGGTCTGAATAACTGTACAAGAGAAGAAGATGGCGAAGAGAAGAGGTAAGAGAAGAAGGTGTCGAATCATTCTCCATTCTCCTCTAACCCTATTTTATTAAGATCTAAAAATTTGATGATGACAAGAATGCCCTTAAGTGGGCGGCCAGCTTGGCAGTTACATAAAGAAAAATAAAACAAGAATAAATAACAGGCCCATTAAGTGTGGCCCATCAACATAAAATAAAAGATATTACAAGAGAGGCTGTTAGGGCCCATTCGGCCCAGTCTCTTTACAAGTAACAAGGGATGAAAATGGGAACCTGCTAGCTATGTATTCTGGTCCAATTGGGGTGGGTGATTCTTTGAGGGCTGAGATCCTAGATGCTCTTGAAGGGATTCAAAAGGCTAAGGAAATGAACTGTAAAAAACTGATCATAGAAGGTGATTCTGAAATTGTAGTAAATTGGCTAAAAGAGGACAGTTCTACACTGGAAATACAGCAACGAAAAGAGGAACTTCAAGTGGCTCACCAAGGATATTGAAATTCGTTGTACATGGATAGTGAGAAGTGCTAATGCAGTGGCAGATGGTCTAGCTAGGCAAGGGGTGAACAGAAACTCAATGTTTTGGGCTGTTTCGTAATTGTTTCATGAATTCGGGTTTATAGGGTATTTGGGGGTTAAGAGTTTTTAGCTCCTTACCTTGTAATTTAGCTTTTCCTTCTTATTAATAAAATTCACTGTTACTGATAAAAAAAAAAAAAAACTAGGGGGGTGGACATCCAATTTTAGTGGGTGAAAAGAACAGAAAATGCTTTTGTAGATGCTTTGGCAAAGCAGGGGGTGGGAAGGGATCAATTGTATTGGGCTGTATTGTGAAATGTTGTTTCACTCTCTTGTAGAGAGTTAAGCCTTTTTAACCCTCTGGATTGCTGTACCCGTTTCTTATAATTCTAATGAAATTCTTTTATTGATAAAAAAAAAAGATGGAAATGAGTCAATAGTTCAACTGGTTAAATCATTGAGTGAGTGACCAAGGCAATAAGTTCTCTCTCTCTCTCTCTGCAAAAAAAGTGGTTTTTGAGGTGAGACGGACCTTGAAATCTTGCCAGGTGATAGGTCAACTGGTCAGACTGTTTGGGTGACAAGTAGGAAGATTTCAAGCTGGGTCCCTAGGTTAAAAGGAAACAAATCCATCACTACACCATTTTTTGAATACTTATTTGTTAAATGTTTATTGATAAGGACAATGAATCATTATTATTGTTGTTGTTGTTGCTATTATCTGAAATTTTCATGTGATAATGCATGTGCACATTTAATAGTAACAATAAAATAGACATTATTGCACTAAAATATTCATTTTGTGGGTTATATGCTAGTTTCTTTTTATTATTTTCTTATTTGTTGGGGTTCAACCAACACACGTCAGTTCATGCTGTTTCGGACCTTTTAAGACTTCAAAACCTAAACTAAAAAGCAAGGAAGAACTTAAAATTTTGGTCAATTTGCACTCTTTCTTTTCTTCTTTTACTAGGGCAAAAACATATATTTTCTGAATTTTCTTTCTTCTTTTTTCATTTCATGAATATGTTGGTTTTCTAGTACTGAACCAATGCATTAAACACTGCTAGCTTTTACTGACATGTCTATCCAAAAAGTCAGACCTTTATCTTGGGTGAAAGTAATGGAAGACGTTGATAATCACATAACTCTTGGACATGTGCAAGATTAAATGAACTAGTAAACATGTATGTGCTATTGATGATTTAATGGGAGTGTTATTATAAAAAAAAAAAAAACAAAGTAAACATGTACGTGCAAATGCACGTGACAGTATCTTTAAGACAAAACTATTTACAATTTATGGGCAGTTTTTGAACAGTTATAAGTGGGCAGTTTTTGGAGTGAGAGTAAAGGACATATATGCCCTTTTTATGCCTGTTGTATGTTGCTTAGATAAGGGGTAAAAATGTCTAATGAAAAGTCCAGAAAATGGGGCTATTCGCTCTTTTATTAATAGTATAGATATAGATATGTGAATCTTTGTTCCTACTCATATAAGTAGGTTTGGCACTCTGTTGTGAAATTAATATTACGTTATTTTCCTAAATATGATGTACACATCTGATTTTCCCCAAGTTTTTTAGGTATCACTACTACATGCATTTAATCAATTTTGGAGACTCGTGACTATAATTTACTTTTGAATTTGGAGCCATAGACTTCCATCTTTTATTGGCGTAGGAACAGTGTTCTGAATATGGGAAGGCTCCCTTTTGTTCCTTGAAAGCATTGATTGCTTAAATAAAGTAAGGGAAATAAATAATTCTTTCTTTCAGTGCATACTTGGAATTGCCCCAAGTACATACTTGGAATTACTGTTATCTGTTCCCCTGACAACCCGGGTTGTGAACATAGATACTTTGGACTTATTCTGATATTCTGATGCAGGTGGATATACCATCACTACTGTGCTATGGCAATGGCGCTCATCAGTCTCACATGGGAGATAAAAGGGCAACCTGATTGTGCCGAAAAGCAGGTTATTCTGTCCCATTATTTGCTGGTTTATTTTTCATGTTTTGTTGCAATCCTAACCCTTGAATTATATGCAGAGAGGGATAAATCTGTTCCTTCAATGGGCTATAATGCAAGGAGTCGCCATGCTCTTGCAAAATAGATATCAACGCCAGAGACTATATACTCGTATTGCATTGGGAAAGGTGCAATTTAACAACTAGTTGCTATAGTAACAAATTTTATAGATGCTGATATCATTATTTATTCAACCCACCATTCTTTCATGGTGGATCAAATATTTGTGAAGTACTAAATTATGGGCTTTTGGTAGCTATGGATCTCATTCGATAAAGATTTGGTCCTTGATATTTTTATCTTTGATTTCTTTGGAACTCTTTTTTTCCTCCTTTTATTTACGCTAGTACCTGCTAGGATGGTTTTGGTGACATACTTGGCATAATATTGTCTATCTAAGGCTCATATTATAGATATATGTGACATTTTATTTGCAGGCTAGAAGAATGGATGTGGTATGGGGAGAAACTGCTGGTGTTGAAGGTCAATTATGGCTGTTATGCCCCATACTGTTCATTTTGCAGGTAGTTTGAGCTGCATGTTACTTCAACAAATTCCCATATTGATAGTCATTTAGATGATCTGTTTTTTTTTTTTTTTAAACTTTAAATTTAACTTTTTGTGTTTTCATCATTTGTGTGAAATGTCTCGAGGGTGAAGGAACACCGATTAGGGTTGCAAGTTGGGTTGGACATTTGTTAAATTTTAAATGGGCCTGAACCCTAACCCGAGCATGATGTAGTTGAAATTCTTAAAAATTGGGCAGCCTGACTTGCCAGCCCTGACACTTATAATGTAGTATTAGTTTTATGAGGCATTCCCAACTTCAATCTAGAGATCTAGCAGGTGAAAATTGTTTTGGAAATAGTAAATATGGTGGTATAAAAATACCATGTAAAGGTACTATTTTAACATAGTTGAATTATAGTTTCATTTGTTGGGTTTTGAATACTTGATGTCAGGGCTTTGAAGCATACGTTGGATCATTGCTCTTGCGGACTGCACTGGTTGGCGTTGTTTCCGAGTGGCAGGCAAGAATTACTCGTGATTTCGTTTTGGTTTTATGCCATGTCCACCAACAAGCTTCGATCTATTGTTTCTCAGTAAAGTTTTAATTGATACAAACTTTGCATATGGCAGGTTGTTGTTTGCGGAATCCTTCTAATTCTGATGGCAGTTGGAAACTTTGCAAATACGGTGCAAACACTTATGGCAAAGTCAAGGGTTAAAGCGAAAATGAAGAAAAGTAAAAGCAAGCAAGAACTAAATCATGGGTCCTCTCCAAGGAATTTGAAATTGTAAAGATACCAAGTAGAATCCTATAAATGGTCATGAGTTATTTATGGAGCTTCATATTTGGTTTTTGTTGGAATGTATTCTGGGTTTTCTACGTGCTTTCCTGCAGCTACTGTTGTCTCTTCATCTCTCTTCTCTAGATACATGACCGTAAGATAAGAGTTTAAATGTGATCCAGTTTTGAGTTCAATCTATGAATATGGCTTTGTGGCTGTCCTGGTATAAGACTTCGGTGAAGAAGTCTGGTCGATTCAGTGAAGAAGTCTGAATGATCAAGGAATCTTCCATATGTTGAATTGGTCTAATTGGTTTGCATGCCCCTTACTGTTTCTTTTTCCTTCACACAGGCTAAACCGGAGCCAAAAAAAAGAAAAAGAAAAAGGGCTTACGCAAGTCAGAATAAAACGAATATCAAAACTTCCAATACTGAATAATTATTTGTGAGAAAGGAGGTTAAAGCTTATTTGGTTTGATAGAAAATTAGATAGGCAGAAGGTTGAAATAAAATTCTTTGAGGCTTGGTTTGTTTGCAGCGGGAGTTTCATTTGCACTGGTGTGGATGCATGGAAATTGGAAGTGCAAATGGGTTGTGTAAATTTTGGTTTACTTTTGCTTTAGGTTTGACATTGTTTTATATCTTTGTGAGAAGTAAAATGAGGTGATCCCCATTTCGTGTGCGGTATGACAAAGAAGAAAGATAATAGCAGGGTTATTTGTTTAGGCTGTGTTTGGTTGCAATGAAAATAAGTTTGCACTGCCACTGATGCAAAACCATGATAGTGCAAATGATTTGAGTGTAAATTCTGATATATTTTTGTTTTAAATTTTGGTTTATTTTGTTTGATTGCAGTAAAAATGAACAAAGTCAAGATCTGAAGCAGAATAAAGTAAAACCCAAAACAAAATTAAACAAGAGTGTGCATTTTTTACATTCTAATATCAACTCTTAAAAATACTATAGGGAAGACGTTCCTTTTTTTTAATGTTAAACATTTTCCCCCTTATTTTCCATTTGCTTCACACCTTTATTGTTTGAATCTACTTCCCAAAAATTGAGAACTATACTTCCACATTTTTTTGATAAATAACTTCAAATTTTATTAAAACTCAAGGTAATAAAACATTACAAGCATCCCTAGAGAGCACAAGATGCTACCTCTCTATATTAAAACAAAAGAAATATCTAATGGTTTAAAACAAAATATAATTCCACATTTTTTCCATCCCATCTTATGACATCCTATAAACGAAACATGGGAAGAGAAGAGAATATTCTTTTCCATCCTATCCTACAAATCAAACAAAGCTTGATATAAAAGATGGTTGGTAGTTTCAGCCTCAATTGAGCACCACAGGCAATTTCCCTTCTCCAAAACCATAGCCCTTGAGCCCTACTAGTAAGAATGTAAATTAAACCAGTGTTTTTGAACTGCCGTTGATTTGGATGGTAGGCCATTTGGTCCAGGAATTGTCTAGGCAACTGGTTCCATTTTACCCTAAACCGGGTCCGTGGCCAAAAGCCGTTGAATTTGTCAGTGAGCCACTGATCTGGGTGGTCAAATCATTGATCCGTTCAATAATTTTTGGCCTTTTTTTTATTTGAACTGTTTTTTTTTATTTATTTTTTAGTTGGAACGAGTCCGTTCAAACTGTCGACCCATTCGACCTGTTCATCAACAGTTTTGGCTGTTTCTTATTCTATTTTTTTTTTTAAATTTTTTTAGTTGGAACATGCCTCCATTTGAACCGAATAGCCTAAATGTTGACCCAAAAATCGGGTGGCCAGAATGGTTCCGATTCTTTAAAACCTTGAATTAAACCATTAGATATTTCTTTGAAGCAGCCGTCCATGTCAAGAAAGCAATCTTTTTGTTTGAGGTAGTTTCAGCCTTCAACTGAAAAGAAACTTCAACTGTCCCTTGACCACACCTTCCTACCTTCTTGATCAAGATACTGATGGCTTCAAGCTCTAAATTTTCTGCAATGACTTGGACATAAAGTTCAATTTCCCAATTGTTGAGATTTCTTCCAAGATGAGGATTCCATATAATTGCATTATTTTGGTTGTGTTTGGTATAATTACTATTTCTAGTTGAAACATTTTGTATTGATCAATACAATTAATTGGTAAGAAATATGTATTGTCACTTCAACCAGAAAAATGCTGGATTTGATCACTGATGTTTGTAAAAACAAGATTTATAGTTTTTTTTAAGCTTAGAATTAAATTTGTATTGATTAACCCAAAATGTTTTAAGGTAGAAAAAAAAAAGCCAAATTATACACTTGAGTCCAAGTCTGTTAAAACTAAGGTTACAGTGAGGGTAAAATTACAAATATGCCCATGTTCAAGTTGAAACGCCATTTGGTCCATTTCTTTTTTTGATGAGTCTGTTTTTTAACAGGATTTTACTATTATTTTGTTGCCCTCAAAGCATCTTATGTTTTTTCTACATTGCACCCTACTCTTGCGGTCTTTTCAGTTGTAGGTAAGGAGGTAATGTCATAAATAGGGTGCAGAATGGATCTTCGAAAAAGTACTACTAACACAAGGTTCAACTTACTAAAGCACACAGTGCAACCGACAGAAGCATAGGATTTGGATCCAAAGGTCTGATAATTGGATAAATGGTGTTGCTACTGTTATATATAGTGCATAAACAGAGATATATACTTCAATTCCTTCTTGATAGGTGATATAACTTGTTTTACATACTTTTCCTTCTTTCTTTCAAACCATGAACATTCAACAGTCTTCACAGTTGAGCAGCAATAAAACATGATAAACTACAAACAAGTTTCTGTCTAGCAACCAATCCCAAAATAGCCACATTTATAAACCCTTGGCCTTTATTGATGGAGACCCTCAGTGAGAGGCTCACCTGATCAGTCTGGAGTTTGGACAAACAGATGGGGTTGTGTATATAATACAAAATACAAATAGTAGCTAGTAATCCATTGATGATCATGAGCTGGTGACTTATGAAGCTGAAGCAGGAGAAGAAGATGGGTTGAAAGCTTCTTGTTCTGCACAGCTGAGTACTTCATGGGGTCCTGCCTGCTCTCGGCCAACACCCATCAGGTCAAGGTAATACAAGTAGTGTGAGATGATGTTGTTCATGGAGTCCTCATCCCCCTGCCCACAAACCAGATCTCCATAGAGCACGTTTATGGTAGACCCAAAACCAGGGACCCTCTTGGCCAAGGTGTCATTCTTGGTGGGCTTCCAGTTGCCGACGAAGACGTCGTGGGCGGAGGGTTGCTTCTTCTTCATTGGGGTCATCCACCTCCATATGGCAGCTTGGAAGGCAAGGGTGGCATTGTTCTCAATGTACTCAGGATGGCTCAGCAAGTCCACCTTCAAGGCTTCACCAATGGTGCCATAGTTGTAGTTCCAGTAGATGGGCAAGGCCCCCCGGCCGTAGTACTCAACACCAGGGGTGCATGGGTACACATAATCTGTGGAATCACAGTAAGACTGGCTTGGGCTCATTTCATGGTTGTAGCACAGACCCCAGGCCAATGGCCCGCCTGTAGCCACTCCATAACCACCTAACAATAATACAACATTCAATACAGTCAGAATTGCATCCATTTCCCATTCCCATTTCCCATTTCCCATTTCCAACCAAACAGATAATTAAATAGATCTACAAGACCCAATAGTCATTATTCAGTCCATCCCCAACCTTTAAATATCAATATGTATTGTAGTGTATCATGTGCTGCTTTGTATTTAGGCTGTGTTTGAATTGTAGGAAAGAGTAGGGAAAGGTAGGAAACCTTCACAAACTTTATATAAGTTTCCCTACCTTTTCCTTCAAACCAAACATAGCCTTTTCCCCTGTTGGAAAGTGTGGGATTTGTGGAAATGAACTTTCATAATTTTTTGGTCCATCATCTCATATAAATTTTACCCTTCTCCCAAGTGGGTAAATCACTCACCCATAAAAGGAGGAAAATTGGCCAAATTATGTGGGACCAAAATGATTCATTGATTAATGTAAAGTTTGGGAGTACTTATTTGAAAAATAAGTGCTTATTCTAAAAAGCACTTATTTCAAACAGGGGTAATATAGATATTTTTAAAATGATATGGTGGACCAAAATAGGCCAGAAAGAAAGTGATCACTTAAAAATAAGCCAAAAATTTGGGTTTTTAATTTTGAATAAGTGCTTATTCTTAGGAAAAAACAATTATTCGGACTTATTTCCTAAACACAAATAAGCACTTATTGGTGTAGTCTTGGTCCAAAATAAATTAAACCAAAAAATATTAAATATCATTAATAAATTAAACCAAGAATATTCAGAATATTATGTGTTATTAATAAAACAAATAAAAATTAATGTCATAAATAACTTTTTCAGTCTTTAATAAACATATAACATGCATATAAATTTTCTATGTAAAAATAACCAATAAAAAATGTAAAAGCTTAAATATTAATTATCAGATGGGTTATGATGGGATCATATTGAATTGGAAAGAGGTGGATCCATATTTGATCCTGGAATTCAGAGAATTTTAATCAGATTGAATTTGAACACAAATTTATTAAGATATATGTATACCATTTGCAATCCTACACCAAATCCATGCATTAACAGATTTTATAAAAAAAAAAGGAAAAAAGAAAAACCTCTAATATTTATTGGTCTAAGCTTTTTATTTCCGTCTAAAATAGCTTCAACATTAGCTAACCGGTCCTAATTGGATCTGGTTCTTGTGGACCCAACATAAGCAAACCGGCTACACTACACCTTACCTTACCAAGTGCATCGTACAGCACAAATCTGGACCATTGCATGGGGGACCCACTTAGACAAACAGATCAATGATCCAGATCTATGGTGTATGATGCACCTTCTTCGTTCCAAAACTTCAACGAATGGAATGGAAGGAAGCCAAAGGGATGAGATGCTTACATGACGTTTTGCTGCCAACATGGCCAAGGAAAGCAGCCACCTCCTTCATCTGCATGAGCTTGCCGCCGGTGGTGCCGAAGCCGTGGGGTTGGTAGAGGGCGGAGGCGGTGATAAAGGAATGGTAGTCCCAGAAGCCGACGGCGTGCGCGACGGGAGAGTTTCTCTTTGCGAAGAGATCCTCGAACTGGTAGGTCTGGAAGAAATCCGATATGGTTTGGTTGCAGCAGTAGACGGAGTTCTTGCACTCCCACCCCTTAGTGCACACCTTATTCTTCCCCTTGGCCGGAGACGGCGACGGCGACTCTCCGTTGACACTCCCGCACAATACCATCAGCACCACCACCGCTGCCATAGTTGCTGTTACGGTGGCTTGCTGTTGGCTCCCCATTGACGAGAATCTTAACAGTAGCGAGCCCCAAGAAGAAGAAAAAGAAGAGAAGATTGAAAGAATGCTGAAGCTTTACGAGTTAGAGTTGAGGTGGAGCTGAACCATAAATAAAGACAACGGAGAGAGAGGGAGAGAGAGAGAGGTGAGAGAAAGCGAAGTGATAACTCACGAATAAACGACGGGAACTTGGAAATGACAGTGGACCTGATGAGTTGGTGTAGTAGCTTTGTTTTGACTTTTCTTGCTGCCAAAGAAAAGGGAAAACAATTGTAAAGGGTAATTTACATATGGCGACAGGGGAGTGAATTTCGATTGGGTCCCCACATACCCAACAGTACATGTGCATTGCGGAGATGTTCTTAATTCACGATTGGGATATGCTATGGGGCCTGGCCCATACATGGTTAGCCTATGGTGTGAAGAATGTGTAGTGTGTTCTCTGTGTCCTCGGATCTCCTCCTACCCACAGGACACACTATAGATGTACATTGGGAATATTATATTTTCGGTGTTTACATGTTAGCATTCATAGCCCATAGCGAATGTTCCAGTATACAACTCAAGGTTTTTAAAACCGAACTGGACAAACAATTGGCCAGAGTCCGGTTCTTCGGTCCAATGGTCCGATCGTTTGAATTGAATGGATGGCTTGTTCTGATAAAAAATAAAAATAATAAAAAATGATTAAAACCAAATCAATGATTTTTGGAAAAATAATGGTTTTTGGGTAAAATGGAACCAGTCAGACCGGTTTTTAGTTTTCTGGTCCAACCATCTAGCCTAGTCCAGTTTTGAAAACCATGGTATAATTATAGTGGGTAGGAGATTCGGATTTATTCTATACATGTGGGGAACCATTTGCTAAAAGCCTGGTTTTTGAATCCTAGCTTATTGGCTTGCACAGTCAGATTATTCAGCTCAAAAACCATGCAGGCAACCAGTTCCAATTTACCTTTGAGTTGTTCCTTTGCCAAAAACTATTGATTTGATCAGTGATCTGCTAATCCAGGTAATCAAACTGTTGACCTGTTTGACCTAGATAATAGTTTTTGGCTATTTTTTATTTTAATTAATTTTTCTTTTTTTTTTTTTAAATTACAACAAACAATTCACATGATTTTGAAAAATGGATCGGAGATGGAACCATTTTGGCCACCAATTCCTGGGTTAAATGGTCTGATCATTTGGTCTTAACCCTAGATTGAACAGTTTTGGAGTCCAAAACCGAACCTAGACTCATGATCGGTTTGGTTCCTGGGTCAGTTGGTCTGACTGTCCAATCTGGTCCAATTTTCAAAACGATGCCATCCATTCAAACCGGATGGTGGAACTACTTACCCGAAAATCGATGTCCAAAATAGATTTTGCTACCCATTCTAGCCATAAAAATCTCCAGCCTGGAACATCTTCTCAAGAGCCATCCAGGCAAACGGTTCTGTTTCACCCTCAACTTGGTCCTTGGCCAAAAACTGTTGGTTCAGTCAATGACCCGCTGACTTAGGCATTTTTAGGCTATTTTTTATTTTAATTATTGTTTTATTTTTTAGTTAGAATGGGCTGCTTCCAATTGGACGGTTGAACCATTGACTAAAAAACCCCATTGACTCATAAACCAGTGGCCTAAAACGGTTCATTTATAGGTCGATTTTAAAACCTTATTATAAAGTACAGATATAAAAACAAAGTTTAAGGCATTCTCAAGATTGTTTATTTTCTTCTTCTTCTTCTTTTTAGACCTGACCATAAACCATCCCCCCTCCAAACTTGGTAGCTACGGGGCTTGATATCAAATCTCTGTTTGAACAGGCCAGAAACCGTACCAATCAGTTGATAGGGATTTTAGCCAATTTATTATCACAAAATGGTCTCATAAAATAATATATAGAGGTAGTTTAAGCTTTTAATAATATATATTAAGGTTTTTAAAATTGAACCAGTTAGGGGTTCGGTTCCCAGGTTGAATGGTCCGACCATTCGAACTAAATGGACAACCTGTTTTGACAAAAAATAAAAAACCATCAAAACTGTTGAACAATTTGAACTGCTCAGGTCAGGTCAGCAAATTGCTGACCAAATCAATAAATTTTGAGAAATAACAGTTCTGGGGTATATTTCAATATTACAATATCAATAAATCAAATTTAACACGGAATCTAGCAAAAAAAAAAAAAAAGTTTAACATACATGGTCAACCCTAAACCGAACCTGACTCAAAACCAATTAAGACTGATAATGACCTTAACACGTTAGGGCCAGGTTAATACCGACCCTCTATACTGATTTTTTCTTCCTTCATGGCAGGGTATCCTAATTTCAATCTTCAATGGAATGGACTGTCAAAAAAGAAAAAAAAATCCTATAAAACAGGCCCATAATAATAAAAATATGGGTAAATTATTTACAAGTCCACTTGGGGTTTTTGGTCAAATACTAAGACCTCCCCTAAAATTTATTCATTAATTATGAGCCCAGGCAATTTGGGGTTTACTTATTCATTACACCCTCCACTTACGATTTGGGATCAACTGCTAATAAAACACTTTCTAATACCCTCCCAACATTATCTGACACCACATGGATCCCAATCTCATACTGAGATGTGTGGTGTTAGATCATGTTGAGAGAGTGTTGGAATGTCTTTTGTTGGAAACGGGATCTGATCCTCACACATAGGTGCCTTACAGACACATCCATCGTGCATTGGGAACATCTCCCATGAATAATAACTTATAAGTATGGGAGATGTTAGGATGTGTGTGTAAGGTCGGTGTGAGGAGCAGATCCGGTCTCCTTTTATTTGTAGGTTATCTTGACTCTCCTTTTACATCAGCTTTAGTGTTTACATATGACATTTAAGACTTTTTAAAAGTTCATTTTTTCCTTTGATGCTCAGTTTACAAATACAAATGTATAGAGTATAAAATTTTATATTTTGTATTGTTTTCTATACATTTGCATTGTACATATTTGTATTTGTATTCCTTCCAAACTAAGCCTTTAGTACAAATACAAATATGTAGAGTGCAAAACCTTGTATTTACTGAGCCTATAAGGCTCCATTTGTTTGTGATACAAATGCCGAACCGGGGTATTTATGTACCCCGGTTCTCGTTTGTTTGATATATAAAAATGTAATGATTGTCATATCAAAAATGTATTTTCTGACACTTTGGTATTCTGAGAATAGAGCATTATTATACCTATTTTTTGGATACAATTTTGTGTTCTTTAGATAATTAACTTTTTGATAGTTGGAGCATTTAATGATGGGTCCACACTTTTCATGAATTTCAAACAAACAAGATGAGTGCCAAAACGGTTTAAAATGTGAACCATGTTTGCATTTATGAACAAAAAAAAAGATAAATATGCAATACACATATTTGTGTTTGCATTGCAACCAAACACAGTCAGACTCAGTTTGAAAAAAGTACAAATATAAATATATAGAGTGCAAAACCTTATATTTTATATTATTTTGTATGTATTTATATCGTACATATTTGTATTTGTACTCCTTCCAAATACAAATATGTACAGTACATCAAGGTAATTGTCTACTGTTTTTTTTCTTTTGCGGCACTGCAACATATATCTTTATCTATACGGCAGAAATAATTCTATTAAATATATAGGGATTTAATTATAAGTTTATAACCTATTTTATTTTATTTTTATCTTTAAAATGTTTGTATTTATGAATTTTCTTAGTGTTTTAGTAATTGATTTCTATTAATTATTCTCTTCAAAAATATATGAAAGTTTTAGGAGTTTATCTCAAATCTTTTCCACACCTGGCCATCTTTTGGGTTACAATTACATTCTACTTAAAACGAAGTTGAAATTTTGTAAAATCAAAATCGTGGCTCCATCTTTTTCTTTAGGCTAGTTTGTTTGCAATGCAATTTTATTTGCATCAGTGCGAAAGTATGGGAGCACAAATGAATTGATACAAAATTTGATTTATTTTTATTTGTTTGCACTGCAAATGAAGTAAAACTCAAAGCTAGGGGTGTCCATAAAAACCAAAAACTGAATTGAACCAAGAAATTGAACTGGAAAATGCACTTAATTGAACCGATCGTTTTGGTTCTGGTTTGGTATTTTTGAAAAACCAAAGGATCGGTTTGATTTTCGATTAACTTAGAAAAAAACCGACGGTTAACCAAATCGATATAAATATTTATATGTATATTATATATATTTAATATATGTCACATATTTTCTATATATTATATATAAATATATATGTATAATCTATTTATAAATATTATATACTTTTATAAATATAGAAATATATTATATATCATTTATTATTTATATATAATATTATACATATATTTAGATAATATATATTGTAAATCTAAAAAATTGAAAAACCGATCGAAGAACCAAACTGGTCAAAAACCAAAACCAATCCACCGGTTAACCGGTGGCACCGATTCGGAGAAATAAAAAACCGGTAGGACCGATTCGGTTTGAAAAAAATCATTTATAGTTTAGTTCCATGGACACCCCTACTCAAAGCATAATATGCCTAAAGCAAAAGCAAACCAACATTTACACTCTTTGAATTTGTATTTCCATTCATATTACATGGAATCTTGGCACAGTTTGAAAAGAGTGCAAATATAATAAGGGTCTGTTTGGGAGGGTCAAACCTTTAGTCAAGCTGCTTTCACTGAATTGTTTTGGAGAATCCATTAAAAGAGGCTTCAATGAAAAGCCCTTTTTGGGTTGAAGGGCTGCACCTGCAAATTTGGATCTTTTGAAATTTTGACCAAACATTGTTTATATGCTGTTCGGGTGGAGTCCAGCAAACATTGCTTATTGCGCTTATATTATCAAACCCTTGATTTGTATTTGCATAAAATGCCCTAGGTGGTTGGTTTACGTGATAGGTGAGGCCCATGATAGTAACACTTCTTTAGGTTTGTTGTTTGGTCACATCTAAGGATTCTTTTGGGTGTCCCAGATGAGTCCCACAATTGCAGTGCTGGGTATATTTTGGAAAATCTCTCCCTCTCTATTGATTTGCACAAGTATTATTTAGGCTGTTTTTGGTTGCAATGCAAACAGATTTGTACTAATGCAAAACTATG